GCAGAAACCATGCTCAACCTAAATACACGTACCTGGGCTGAGAGGATGAGGAGGCTCAGAGGAGGCAGGAGCCTCCTTCACCAATAATGTAGATATCCCACATTATACACAGTTCCTATTCTGTAAAATAAACCAAAAAGGAATTCTGAAAGAGAAAGCACTCCTCGCCAGATTCCTTCCATGCCCTGCCTACAATCCCCGTGATCGGTCTGATTAACTGCCTCAGTAGCCGCGAGACCTGAAACGCGGGTGAGAGGCGCTCAATTCTCAAAGAGAATCAGGCATACAGGCATTCTCAACGCGATCACATCTGGTCTATGGCTAATCTCCGTCGAGAGCCAAACACACTCTGTTCAAACACTAAATTCTCTCAAGAATCAGGCAAGAACAGAAACCGCCGCGAATGCATCGCATTAAGCTTGTTCAACTCCCTCGAGAGGCGAACGCGCTCGTGCAAACGCTGACAAAAACTCGAGTACAGACCTCTGCTCTAGTAGTTCCGCGAATGCAAACAGTGAGCGCATCCTTACCCCTCGTGAGTCAAACGCATGTGCTTCCGTACACAAGGCTTGAAGACAAAGAAGAGGATGACGTTAACGCTGACAAAAAACTCGAGTACAGACCTCTGCTCTAGTAGTTCCGCGAATGCAAACAGTGAGCGCATCCTTATCCCTCTTGAGTCAAACGCATGTGTTTCCATACACAAGGCTTGAAGACAAAAAAAGAGGATGACGTTCTCCGCAGGTGCTCTTTTATACCCACACTCGCTTTATTGTTTACGTCATAGGCTGCCTTTTTAGTTTTTTCATTCATGCTTCAGACGCCGGTCATGCTGAAGGCATTCCCTTAGCGCCCTCTAGAGGACGCAGCGTGGAGTTCCCTTTCAAAAGGGAACAACACATTGGACTTGGTTTACACAACAGAAAAAAATGCGTACAAAGCTGCACCCCGCCCCCATCTCGGGTACTCAGACCACATCTCTGTTATGCTAATTCCAGAATACAGACCACTTCTCAAACTTGCCAAACCGGTCCAAAGTCAGATGACAGTATGGCCAGACGATGCTACCTCAGCACTACAGGACTGCTTACAGGACACAGACTAGAACATGTTTAAAGAGGCAGCCACCTACCATGACCACACAGACCTGCAAGAGTACACTGAAACAGTGACTGCTTACATCAAAAAGTGAATTGATGATGTAACAATCACCAAGAACATTACCACACGTGCCAACCAGAAGCCATGGATGACAGCAGAGGTTCGTGGGCTGCTAAAGACCCGAGATGAAGCATTCAGATCGGGAGCCAAAGCAGTACTCAAAACAGCAAGAGCCAACCTGTCTCCTTGCATCAAGAAAGCAAAACGGTTGTATGCACAAAAAAATCAATAATCACTTCACTGGATGTCTTAACAGACATCTTTAATATCTCACTAAGCCAAGCAGTTTTCCCCACATATCTCAAGTCCACTACCATCACCCCAGTACCAAAGAAGTCACTTGTGTCTTGCCTGAATGACTATCATCCCATACCACTGACC